GTCTTTTCTGCCTTCAACATAATGCAAATTGAATTTAAAACAACAAATCAACTTTTACAAATCAATTAAACAAGCAAAAAAATAATTCTTATTTACACATCAAATTAAACAAATCAACTTTTACAAATCAATTAAACAAGCAAAAAATAATTCTTATTTCCTCATCAGTTAAACAAATCAATTTTCAATGTAAAATTCAATTAAACAAGCAAAAAAAGTGTACCCCAGACTGTTGTTTATGCACAAATACATCAATTTCACGCAGCTCACGTCAGGAATAACCTGTAGAAACCAAACATTTTCTCAAACAACACTTTCTACACATCTAAAACCAACAAACAACAAATTATTGAATTCTAAGTACTTAACCAAACATTTTCAAACCAACAAAGAGTATATATGTTAACAACACTTGCTCAAACTTACCAATTGTTTATGCAAACTTTCAACACGCGGATGCAGGTAGGCAATGTCTCGCATATATCACTCGAGCCATAAAATGCTGAAACCATAAGCGTACTGTACCTCTATCTCTATCTGTGGGAGGTAGAAGGTGTTTACTTCATGTCGTCAAACGCTCCAAGCACATGCATACAAGAGGACCAAAATCCCCTCTGGCTCCCTCCGTTTGTTATGGCACGATATCGTCTCTGATCATTGTAACTTTGAACTTTTTTGGCTTCTTGTTTCCAGAATTAGTCCAATAATCAATCGCGTCCAAGTATTTCACCAAATGAGCGCTCCATCCCTTACAAATAATATCTCTCAAATCAGACAATTGTATGTAATTCAACATGATGTCATATACCATTATCTTCAGGAATGGGAGTTGAAGCTCGACGAGAAGCCAATGACGACGTTCTAAAACAGGGATAAACACCTGCAATCATAAATAATTGCGCACATCAAATAAAATTTATGAAAACCTTTAAAATATTCCAAAAATAAATACTAACCTTATCGACCTCCCACCACGCAGGATAAAGTTTAGCTTTTCCATTACCCAACGTATATGAAGCATCTATCGGATCCTTCAAGTGAGCTACGTGAAAAAGCCGTCCGCATAATAGTCCATCGAGTATTTCTTATTTTCCTCAATTTCCTTATTATTAGAAGACGTGACATGACACCCATGCATCAATATGTCGTTTTATAAAAAAATACATATATTAGTGAATTTATTAATAATTTTTAAAAAAATTAATCAAAATGCAATATAAGAAGAATATAAGACTTACCATCGCTTCAAGATAGCCATTATCTTCAACCCCTAATAAAATACCCCACCAAGACCGATCAAGAAACAAATGCATAACATCGTCGAGTTTGCATAGGTCAGAATAACACCCCCTTGTTCCACTCATATAGATAAAAATCAACTGCGGTCTTAGCCCAAAGGGTATTATTCGTAATTGTGTCCGATAGTGTTTCCCTCCCCTGCTGAGGAATGGTACTGGCCGGTAACACATACGAAAGCCAACTCGCATCCATCATATCGGGCACGGGAAGGGGTTTATCAATATGTCGACATATGACGCCATGTGCATCAGGCTCGGACCTCTTGAACAATGACAGGGGCCTCTTGAACGGTGGGAGGGGCCTCTTCGATGATGATAGAGGCCTCTTGAAAGATAGAAGGCGCCTCTTGAACGATAATAGGTGCATCGGACTTCTTCTTACGGAGTCTTGGCACTAGTGGGGTGAATGGAGACGTAATGGCACGTGTACGACGTCTGATGCGTGAACCCCGTCGTGCAAGAAAAACCCGACGTAAAGCATCTACCTTATCGGGCCGCTAAAAATAAATTAATACATAAATCAGTAAATAAATAAATAAATAAATAATGCCGAAAAAAGGTTATTTGCATTTTTAGTATAGTATTAAACAAATTTACCTCATTGCGTAGAGTATGACTCATTTTACAACGATAAAACAATCTCACGTAGAGCGGCAACCTCATCACGTAAAGTAGATACCTCACCACGTAGCGTACCATTGTCATCGCGTAAAAAATCTACCTCACCACGTAAAGACCGAACCTCATCGCGCCATGCACCATTATCTTCACGTAAAGTACCGACCTCATGACACAAAGCACCGACCTCATCACGTAACTCCCCTAACTCATCCCGTGGAGGTGGAGAACATGGAGATAAATGTCCTGGCCTCTTTTTTCGGTCGCCTATCATGAGGTGATGGTGGAGAAGAGGCTCGATGATGTGATGGAATATGTGATGGTGGAGGTGGAGAAGAGGCTCGATCAGGTGATGGCTCCGGGTGTCGAGCTGTAGAATCAACCCGATCAGGTGATGACTCTCGAAGTGGGGGGTGCTCATCATCCGTCCCATCAAAAAACCGCTTACTAGCTTGCCACCAATCAGTGGCAACCTCAGCCTCTGTGGGTGTCAGCCTCTGTAATGGATAGTTGGCCTCCTAACAATATAAAAGCTCAAACAAAGTTAAACTTGTTCTAGTAATAACTTGTTTATATATGGTATTATTTGTGTGTTAACTTGCATCATTCATCGACGTATATGGGAGTAACTCTTCCCAATCCAACACGCGGATCCTCTTCCAGGTAATAGCCCTAGGAATATCATTTGATATTTTTATCGCATATGTCCGCATACTGGGGAAAACCTCAAATATCCAAATCTACAAACAATATAATACATAAACATTAGTAATTGTTAAATAATTAATTATAATTTTGGAAACATTATATAGAAATTCTTACCTTAAAGGCCCAAGTAAAGCATGTCAAAGTGTATTTAGAACCATCGCCCCGCAAACTTTTTTGGTCCTCAAAGGCAGACGACAACTTCTTCCAGGTAGCTTTCCATAGATATGAACCCCACAGAAATAGGTTCCATGCATTTAGGTCCTCTACCAATAATATTAGGTCCTCAGAGATAGGTTGTATGCCCTCTTTGCCTAAAAAGTCGGCATGCAAAAGTAATAAATGTCATACTCGGACAACATCAAGGTCATCCATCCGAGTAAAACCATCTTTAACAAATAATCTCTTCAAGTCGTCGACGTGTAAACTCGGCTTCGACTTTTCCAGCTCAGGAAAAACCCGAGATAACCATGATGGGCGGGAGATATGACAAGTGTACCGGGTTACTTCATCATGTCCGAAGCGTAGACCAATGATTAAGCAAAACTCCTCCCGCCCAAAACAAGTATACGTCGGTGCCGGAGGAAAATGAAACCATATCTTTTCATCACCATGTTATATCCTCTCGGGTAGATCGTTAGTCATGGTCTGAAGAAACAAATGTGTCAACATAGCATCTCCACCCGTATGTTGTACTTTCAGCTATGGCCCGAAGCAAGTATCCTCAAACAATTTTCTTTGTAGAGGTGTAAGCGTCGACGCAATTTTAGTGGCTATGCTTAATTTATTCCTTAAGGTCAATGCAGCCGAAAAAAATTTCTACAAAAACAATAAACATAACAAGTTAGATATACCAAAAACTATAAATTATACACTATAAACAAACATGATATTAAACAGTGAAAACAAAGCCAAATATGTTTCAAACTAGAACGGTATTCACCCAAATCATTATTCCATCATAGTTCACAAAATGCATCAAATAACATTCCAGAAGTAAGCACTTATATAAACATTTAAAAGGACAACATATAGGTTTAGTGCAGGTTCAAGTACAACATAAAAAGTAGTAGTTTATTCTTGAAACTTAAATTAGCAACACTGTGAAGTTAGTATTTGTCTTTGTTTTGAAGAAATACAATTCATTCAAGTTTCGATTTGCAGAAGAATAGTTTTTGAAACTTAAATTCGCAACACGAAAATGAAAATCGCAACGCGAAAATGAAAATCATGTGATTTTCATTTTCGCGTTGCAAATTTAAGTTTCAAAAACTATTCTTCTGCAAATTGAAACTTGAATGAATTGCATTTCTTCAACAAAAAGACAAAACAAAGACAAATACTAACTTCACAGGGTTAAAGACTAAACATTTTAGCAGTATTGGCAGCAACCGAATGAATTTACTAAGAAATCTCAGTGAAATGATTAATCTTTATATATATTGAAATTACCAGTAAATTTATCATCAATATAAGAAAAATCTAATAATAATACAAAAATTTCAAAATAAAAATAAGAGATTAAAAAACTAACCCTCGGTGGTTGATTTTTCATTTCTGATCGTGAATGGTTGTGAGGGTTGCTCTGAGAGATGGAGATAGATGGGTTTCGCCGGAGATGGGGATGAATTTCGTAGGAGATGGGGACAGATGTCGCCGTAGAGAGTGAGAGATGGAGATGTGTATGAGTTGTGATTTAGGGTTTTAGGTTATGATTTGTGATAATACTGTTTACATTTGTGTTGCGAAATTGATATTGTGTTTCGCGTTGCGAATTTGACTTCTGTGTTGCGCATTTGGGAAATCGCAATGCGATTTACATATTCGCGTTGCGAAATTGGAAACTGGGTTGCGAAATTGGAGTTTGCGTTGCGAAATTGGAGTTTGCGTTGCGAATTTGTTGGTCATTTTGGCAAATCCAAAAAAAGTTGGTTAAAATCGTATATTATAAGGCATTTTCGATCACTGAGATTATTTTTCTCTTTCTCTAAATGCATAAGGGAAATGAAAATCAAGTTGCTCATCCGCTTGTCAAAATTAACGGATTCGATATTGATATGATTAAAAAATTCATCGATTTGATATTGGCATGAATAAAAAATCACCGAATCAATATTAACTGACTAAAAATCAAATGATCAAATATTAATCCGATCTGATACTTGAATTGATCCGATTTATCTGAATCAAATCTAAACTAAATATAGTTCAAACTGAAAATAACCCGATTACTTGCTCTAGTCACAAGTGATCATTTTATGATTAACAAAGAATATCATTGATTTAAATATCATTGATTTAAATGTAACTTTCAAAAGTTGAATAATCAACATAAAAAAATGAAGCAAAATGGACCACCAGTACAATATATCCAATAAATAAACCCTCCAATTTGACCGGCTTGACCAAAAACTAAGCTCAATTTTGAAGCTTTGTTAATTCGTTGAGTCCTCCTCTATCTTCCGTCAAACCCTCTTTACTCTTTAGTTTAGTATTTATGTTATTTTCACTGTTTTACACTCTTCCTTGAAGCACCCTCAAACATGAGGTTCTTTAATTTTTCCCTCTTCTTTCCTGATTCTTATAAATTTCCATCTTTCCTTGTACTGTTTCATCTTGCTTGATTCCTCTGATGTCAAAGAAAGAGGGAAAAGATGTTATACTAAATTTGTTTTGATTTTTAAGAACAAGCCAGTGTTTGGTTCTCAATGTACCAAATATTTTTGGTAAAAAAGTTGTAGATTTTGCAACCATTTTATGTTTTTATCTCTAGTTCTTGCTGTATAATACTGTAAAAAACTAATAAATAAGCGGGTTAATTGTATTTGGTTTTGCTTCAGTTTGCTTCATTTTGATGTTGATTATTTATGATTTTTATTGTATTTTCCTGGGTATTTCTCAAATATATTTGTTCTCTCTGGTTTTCTGATTTATGGGTTTACATTATTTTGTTGCTTTGGGTTTTACTTAGAAATTGATTAATATATATATATATATATATATATCGGTTTCCATGATCTTAAAACTGTTTGTTTTTCTCTGTTTCACAGTCGTCAACCGGAGGCTCTTTGGGCTCAGCGTTCTGATAAGGTATATCTTACGATTTCTTTGCCTGATGCGAAAGACATTTCTGTTAAATGTGAACCCCAGGGGTTGTTTAGCTTCTCTGCCATGGGAGTGCAAGGAGAATCTTTCGATTTCAGTTTGGAGCTTTTTGGGAAAATAGTTCCCGAGGTGAGTTTTTGTATCCTAGTTGCTCATTTTCGTTCTTCTTTAGTATTTTAGTACCATAAAGTTATAATGCATTTCATAATTTTTGTTTCCACTCAATTACTTGACTTGTGTGAGTGGGGGATATGGAAACATGTCTGACCCAGGTATGTTCAATTTCTTTCAAGTTTTTCATGTATTTGGAGAGTTCTTGGAGGGTCATATTGTCGTATTCATGTCTAGATACGTATCAGATTAGCATTAGATAAGAATACTTCAAGCAAAATTTATAGGTTGAGCAACATAGTTTCTTCATGCCTGTCTGTCACTCTGTCTGTCTGCATGACTATTGTTCCAGAAGAGTGGAACTTGTGAAATGGTCAATGTTATCTGCATAAGATAAAGCCATTAAGAATGCTTGCATCTTGTATTTTTATAATGAGTTTAATCTTCTAAGAGTCTAAAGCTGATTGAAAGGAAAATCAAGAAAATGAGCCTAATTTTTTTTATTGATAATTGGCCTTGCCTGTTTCTTATTCGAAGTGACATACAAGCATTTCAAATCAGGATCATAAACAAATTCCTTTAAGAAAGTTGGGATCTTGCATCTTCTCGAAGTCAAAAAGCTGAACGTTGAAAGAAGGAAATCATGAAATCAAGCCTTGTTTGTGGCTTTGATCTTTGGGCCTTTTCTCATTTGAAGTGAAATACAAGCATTTCAAATTGGGACTTCTTAGCTTTTGTTTAAGATGGCCAGAGTTGAATGGCATTGGTGAAAATTTAAATGATAGAAAACCCAGCAAACTTGTTACATACGAGGGTGCAAGGCAGTTTTGAAAATTTCCCTGAAAGTATAACATGGAAGGAAGTTTTCTTTATTCCTTTGCAGTAACTATTATTGTTATTTTCATTTCTTTCCTTCTATTAACATTTTTGTTTTAAGGAAATCCTTCAAACTTTCATTCAAAAAATTATTCTGCTTATTTTGCAGGGTTGCAAAACTAATGTTGGGTTAAGGAATATAATATGCTCGATCATGAAAGAAGAAAAAGGGTGGTGGAAAAGATTGTTGAAGTCAGAAGAGAAACCTGCACCTTACATCAAGGTTGATTGGAACAAATGGTGTGATGAAGATGATGAAGATCCAAATTGTAAGTTATGTAATCATTTATTTCAGTTTCTAATATATTAACTTCCATTTGCATGATGTGCGTTGCAAACTTTGCACTCTTGCTGATTCCTAGGAACCTAGACTATTTGTAGATTATATATTTGCTTTTGTTTTGCCTTTTCATTTCAACATCGATGAAGCATTTACCTTTGTACAATTATGTTCATTCTATTTCATCCATGCCTTTCCATCCCTATGCTTTTGGGAAACGGTGCTAGTACATTTATATCTTAATATGATATTTTATAATTTTGGAAACCCATGAATAATCTTATTTTCTGATATGCATGAAAATCCCCCTGTTCTGCCCTCCGACTTAAATTATTTTGAGTTTTATCTAATGTTTCTCCAACTCTTCATTTTTTTGGAGTACCCATGTCCGAAATATATTTGGATATGGATGCAGGGAGTATGACTGTCCAAGGGTTCTCCAAAGACATGGAAAAACTTCGAAAAAACAAAAATACCCATACCGGATGCATACTTTATATTCAACACTCACCCCTACTCCGAGTAACATAGTTTTTTCATATGGTCTTAATGCTGGAGTATTACTTGTCTATTCATAACTTTCTTTTCTGTATCTAATGGACTATTCTATTTCTGATGTATAGCGTTCATATTTAAGTTATGATTATATTGGATCTAACTAGAGCTTTTTGGTCATTGGCAGCTGATTTGGCCTCTGATGATGATGATGACCAGGTAATTGGTTTTTTGTTTCACTTATGGATGCATAATGCAGTTGATGTGGGATAAAATTGCGGATTTAAGTTAGCCATTGAGTCTGAAGTTTCACGCCCAGAAAGAAAGAGAAAATCTCTTCTTGGCCGTTGGGCAAATTATAAAGTTCCTAGAACTTAAAAGTTCAATGCTAGTAACATTTTAAGTCGAGAAGCAAGCATGACTTAAAAGTTTTTTTGTATCCTTTAGTTATAATATAGAAGACAACCTTAGATCCTAAGAACATCTATTAATTGTCTCTGTCATCGTTCTTTGCTATGGTATTGCATGCTATCTTTACTGCCGTATTTAAAAAAAAGGGTCAAAAATCCTAACTTGTGTCTACATCTAAACTGGTAGAAGCATTTGAAATGCTTTATAATTATTGATTAACCATTTGATGTGAATTTGTTTCTTTTTGCAGTATGTTTCTCGAGAAGAAGAAAGTAGCGATGATGAAGGAATGCTGTGTGAGTTAAACAACTTGATTGCTTCCTGAAACTATTAAATTGGATTGCATTCTTAAGACATGTATTCTTCATAGAGTACAATTTAAGGTTCCAACTTTTTTCTCTTATGTCGTACAATGAAAAAAAGTTGCTTTAAGATTCATTACTAGGCCTAAAAATTTGAACGCATTCATTGGGGACCTGGGGAAATGGATTAAGGAATTTTACTTAGTTTAGTTCATATTAATATATATTATGGTTGCATGTCTACTATGATCTTTGCAAAAATTGTGAATGATATGATTTCTGTTCCTCTTGAATTACATTTCAAAATATATGCAGAAGTTACAACTTCATAAGTTTAACTCGGTTTTAAGATATACTAGACTATATATATCTACTTGATAAACCTTATAACTTTTGTGATGAGTTTTCTGCTGCATGTTGCAACCTCAATATGTATTGACCTTCCCTGTATTAATGAGGGAATCTATTTGATTAAAAGGGTCAAGGCTAGAATGACTTGCAACTGGTTTAGCACTTACATAGTTACATATTTACGTGGTCTTGTTCTATGTTACTCTTAAAACTTTGATTTTCTTGGAGTATTCATGTTTGATGCATATCGGGATATGGTATTAGGTTGTAACCTAGCAAGGACCCCCAATATACATAGAAGAACTTTATATAAAAAAATGAATGTACCCATCTTGGACATGTACTCGTATTTGACGATCACACTGGAGTTCAAATAAAATAGGTCCAGTTTAATTGTTTTCATCTCTGCTAAGGCAACACTAATAAATCCTGGGTGCGTTTATTCTGCATTTAAGTCAAGGAACAAGGGAGTCTAAGCGCTTAAAACCAGTTGAAGATACATGAATAAGAGAAAACCTCTTATTTATGGTTATTTTTTTAGGTTTCACATTTCTCGTTTCCATTCTTACTAATTTTCTTATATGCACTGCAGATCTTCCTGATTTGGAAAAAGCAAGAGGAAACTAAGAAATGAAACCCGATTTACCATTGACAAGTTGAAGATGGAGGTACTAAGCTTTTCTTGAAGAGCTACTCAATTTTATGTAGTGGAATTATAACCTTGTGCTTAAAAAGCAGGGTTAGTTGCAAATTTAGAGCCGATAAATAATTGTGACCGTCTTGAAAATCTGAATTCAGTTGAATATATTGTTGCATGAGTAACAAATTGAGTGCTTTCATGGAACAAATGACTACAATGCATTGAGCATCAATGGAGAGGAGTCGATGGTTGCGTTATCTCATTCGATCTAAAAGACGACGAAAGGGTATTTAGACATAAAAACTCAAGGACGAGACATCAGCAGAGGCAACCAGGTGGGTCTATGATGCCACGACACTCTAGATGGAATTTCCCACCTATAATGGTATTGGGGATCCTTTAGGGTAGCTGAAACGGTGTGAGAAATTCTTTGGTAATCAACGAACTAATGAAGATGACAAAGTAGGTTCAGCCACATTTCATCTCTCAGGAGAGGTGTAACCATGGTTTGATCAAATGGAAGAGGAGGCATGCCTTGATTGGGGGCATTTCAAGGAGTGTTGTCATGTGAGGTTTGAGCCACCTATGAGTAATAACCCCTTGGGGGGAATGTGCCAACCTGAAACAGATCAGGGCTGTAGAAGAATATCAAAGTCAATTTCAATCGCTATTGGTTAGCACTTTTGATCTCAAGCCGCGATAAGTAAAGCTCTTTGCTATTGGTTTGGTAGAGGAACATAGAATCGATATTAAGATGCAATAAACGGGAAAATTTAGAGTTGCAATGAACATGGCTCGAGCATTGGAACGTAATCAAAGACCTTAAAAAATATTATCTCGAACTAACCTGAATTAGCCAACTTCCCAAAACATTGACAGTAATCCGATCATTTCAACCACATGACCCTAAACTTGCGGCCAACAAATGTTCTCTAAATTTTTTTTACAGCAATGATCATAGTTTAAAAAATATTAAATAAACATGCAAGAATTGATAACGTAAATATTCACAAAAACAACATTTTTTTTAATTGTAAATGAGGAATCAGATTACATACAAAAAACAACATTTTAACTTTTGGTTATGTTATATAAATCTCTTATAATAAAATAATTATATAAACTGCGAGCTTTTTATGATGGGCATTTGAATTGTATAATTATTATATTTATTAACAATTGCAGTGTGTAAAGAATGATAAGACACCATACATTCTTTATAAAAAAAATCAAGTTTAAAATTTAAAATTACATTGTTGAGAATAATAACTCGAAGGCAAACATAGAGGATAAAAGAATAAATTACAAATTATAGAAGCTCAAAATTATGTGATGTGGAAGTTTGTAAAACTTGAAAATTATCTGGTCTGGAAGTTGAGTCTTTTTATGCAGTAGGCAAACATGAAGGCAAAAAAGGCTGCAAAACCGATCAAAGCACCGGCAATCGGCCCCATGAAGTTTGACTCGTAGCCGTACTGATCTTTAATATACGATTTAACAGAGGGATCGGTCACGATACCAGGTGCTTTGATGGTGTCTTCAATATCTCCGTATTGGGACAGAATGAGTCCGTAAACTGTCCATGCCACGGGACAAATCCAGTAATACCAGATCCACCACTTGGGAATTCTCTGAAGGTAATGAATTTGTATCAGTTTTTATGATCATTGTTAAAACTCAATGATTGCTTATGAAACAAGTAAACTTACCGGTCTTGGAATGAAGAAGCCAGAGAAAAGATTAAAGAGAGAATAGAAGGCGGCAGCGAATACAGCTGCTATTTGATGGTTGGGTGTGATGGAAACTGTCATCATTCCATAGTAAGTGAAGTAAAGGAAGGAGAAGAAGTTGACAAAGAAGAACCAGAAGAACTTTGCTGCAGTCCATTCAAATCCAACCATAGCATACACTATAAGTGTATAATATGATGTTTGGAATAATATGTATGGCACTTCACATGAAACCTGCAATTAAGAAGCAGTTAATTTCGAGATTAAAGAATTCGAGTGTAATGAATGAGTGCAGTAAACCTGTTTTCACGCACCTGCGCCAGGGCATATGGTAATGCAGAATACATCCCAGCTGCTCGTTCGCGATAAAACACTGTTCTTTCGATGGCTACAATCGGCTGCACTGTTGAGCTGTTAGCAATTCCAACGAACATGACTGCAGCATACATTGCCCCAATTATCATCATAAGATCGGTTGTGGTATCCCTGAACCATGGAACAAAGAGAAAGAAAAATGTAAGCTTATTGTCAAACATTGGATAATGTTGCAGGCATGAAAAATAATGCTTTGTAAGTTGAAAATCAGTAACCTTTTAGTGCCGACCTGCAAAAATACAGTTCCGACCATGAGGGCCGAAACTAAAGTGAAGAAGTATCTAACAAGGTTATAGTCTGGACTTCTCCAATAAGTCCACCATTGTTTCCAAAGGCATGACTTGAATTGACCCCATGAGGATTGTGAGTACTGAGAGGCAAAATAAAGGTCTTTAGCTCCTGCAGGCGGTGAGCTTAACTCCATTACTAAGGCCTTGTTTCTCCTGTTTACATACATTTATATATATTAGCTCAAGGCAACAAAAGTAAGTGAATGGTAGACAATTGAAATTCCTTATGTCTGGACATACTCGTATAAGGATGAAGATTTATAGTGTTCAGCAAAGTCAATTCCAAGAAAGCTTCAGCTGCTATAGAGCTCACTTCTAGCATCCATGTAGCTGGATTATACTTATCTTTAATTTTGGGAACTCCAGGGATTGCCTGCAATGGTGAGCAAGAAGGGAATGAAATGATGATGATTTATTTTTTGCCTCTTCGAATTAGTGAAATAGATACGAGATGTTATAGTTACATACCTCGAAATATTTGATGATATTATGAGAATTTCGTCCCAACAGTCCAGAGTAAATCACCTGACCTCCTCTTTTCATCAGTAGTAACTCATCAAAGGCTTCGAAGATATCGATACTGTTAGGAAACTGGTTAAGCATGATATTCAAGAAACATTGAATACTTCTCATTCATTCCAGTAAACGGATTACATTGCTTTATAGCAGCTAACATAAGCTTAGTTCTAGTCTAGAAGCTTTGTAACTACCTTAACTGACTACTAACAGCTCTAACAACTCTTAACTGACCTTAGCTACTTAGCTCTAATATTCCCTTTACTTTCTCCTCCTCCTTCAACAAAGTAACACGCACATCTTAGCCCTGAACAATTGAAAAGATGAACAATTGAATCGAAAGTGCGGATGCTTCCTTCCGTTCACTTGAATCGAAAGTGCCGATGCTTCCTTTCGTTCTTCTTGAATCGAAAGTGTCGATGCTTCCTTCCGTTTATTTTGAACCGAAAGTGCTGATGCTTCCTTTCGTTCTTCTTATTCACCTTCATTTCTTTCTTCTTCACCCTCTTTTACAAGGTTCTTTGACATATTTTTTTATGGACTCTTGGCTGTGAAGTCCCATGACACTTTGAGATAAAAGCAACAAAATGAATACAAAATTAAACTTCTGTTTACACACACAAAAGAATTATACTACTATGCTACTTCAGTGGCCATCTCCTCATTTGCTTTTCGTAAGTGCCGAAGAATTGCATCAGTACTCCATCAACTTTGATAAGCTCTGTTGCAGCTTTAGGATCAGGTCCCTTGATAAGGTTTGACAATGCCCAAGCTGTTGTTCTCACAGTTGAACCCTTGTTTGGCAACATCATGCTTGCAAGAGGTGGCAAAGCACCTTGAGATAGCAGAACATTTCGCAACTCCTCCCCTTCACCAGCAACATTGCCTAATGCCCAGGCACACTGCTTGGCAACAGGCAAGTAACTCTTTTCTCCAAGGTGTGCAATGTGGAATGGTAATGCAGGCATCAAAGCTTTTGTTTCTTCCGGTTTTCCTGTTGCAAAATTTGTAAGACACCAAGCTGCCTCGAGCAATTGTTCATCCGGAGATCCAAACGAAAGGCATTGCACAAGCAGGGGAATAGCTCCAGCTTTAAGAGCAGCTTCAACCGGAGAGAACTCAGATTTTGACAATAATCGCCTTAACTCACGTAGTGAATTTACCCTCTTCTGCATTGCACCTTTCCCTTGGTAAGCAGCAGCGGATTTTAACTCCTTCACAGCTGTAGAAGTTTGGGCATCTAAAAGAAACCCTGTTTTATCAGTTATCATATCATTTCCCTCGACGGGAACATTGTCGTCACCAGTGGCTCCCACTCTACACAACCGTTTCGCTCGGACCAACGATTCTCTCCTCTCTTTCCCCACCGTCACCGCCTTTTCCCGCCGTCTTTGAGCCGCTACGTTCCCAACTGATGATTTAATGGGATCTCTTCGATGGGAAGTGGAGGAATCATCGGCCATTCAGAACTACTGAACAACCACCTTCTACGCCAACAAGCACGATGAACTAACAAAATTATGAAGAACTAGAGAGACAGAAAGTTTAGAAGCGTGAAAGCAAAATTCCCAGGACTTTGGCGAAAGATACCATGTTAGGAAACTGGTTAAGCATGATATTCAAGAAACATTGAATACTTCTCATTCATTCCAGTAAACGGATTACATTGCTTTATAGCAGCTAATAGAAGCTTAGTTCTAGTCTAGAAGCTTTGTAACTACCTTAACTGACTACTAACAGCTCTAACAACTCTTAACTGACCTTAGCTACTTAGCTCTAATATTCCCTCTACTTTCTCCTTCTCCTTCAACAAATCTCCACATAATCGTAACCCCCACTACGAAACTTTTACCGATATATTTATGAGTCATAACTAACAAATCTCCACTTTGACGAATATCCTGCCCCTTAGGAAACATTCAATGTGGGTTGGGTTACCTTACTTCTTTAACAACTCGAAACATTCAACAAGTCCAAGCAATGCATGAACTTGTCTGTCGTAACTGGCTTGGTGAACATATCAGTAGCATTCTCATCAGTATGTACCTTCTGAAACAAGATCTCTCCAGATGCAACCAAATCTCTAATCTTGTGAAACCTTACATCAATATGCTTAGTTCTAGCAGGATATACCTAATTCTTAGCCAAGTGAATAGTACTTTGATTGTCACAAAGCAACTGAACTCCACCTTGCTGAACAGTCAACTCCTTCACTAAACCAGTAAACCATAAAGCTTATTTTGCAGCTTCAGTCGCTACCATG